CACTGACTGTTGTCGTTCCAGGAAGGTCTCACACCACATGAAGCTGTGGTGTGTAGTTCTGCCAAACAGATCTGTGAGGTTATTCTCTGACCAGAGATCATGTTTGGTTCTCTCGTTTTTTTTTTTTTTTTTTTTGGCAGTTGCTTCATGTGGTTACAGCAGGACTGGGCGAGATGCTGGGTGTTTAGCTGCTTTTTGTAAATTCAGTTGTAATGCAAGATGATTTTCTTGCAAAAATATTTTTTGCTCCATTTTTAAATTAAAGTTTCCAACTGTATACAATCTACATAATCTTAAATAATCTCAGTAGTTCTTACAACTCAGCCAAAATCTGATTTCAAGAGCCAGAGGTCTCATGTCCAGACCAGACTTAGAGAAACGTATTCATGCTTTTATTTCTAGTCGGCTGGACTACTGCAATGGTCTCCTAACTGGTCTTCCCAAAAAAGCTGTGAAGCAACTGCAGCTTCTTCAGAATGCTGCTGCTAGAGTCTTAACAAGAACTAAGAGAACGGAGCCCATCACTCCTGTTCTTAGATCTCTACACTGGTTACCAGTAAACTACAGAATAGATTTCAAAGTGCTTCTACTAGTTTATAAATCACTCAATGGCATGGGATCAAAAAACATGTCAGATCTCAATCCTGTATATACAACCAATAGAACCACGGGTCAGAACAAAACATGGTGGAGATGCTTATAGTTACTATGCTGCTCACATATGGAGTCAGCTTCCCCATGACCTCAGATGTGCCCCAACCCAAGTGTTGTTTAAACCCAAACTAAAAACCCTGATGTACTCATCAGCCTTTATGCTGCGTCATCTCCACTGTAATTTGCCTTGTTACTTAGTCTTCTCCTTTAGCTCTAAACTGTAATTCTATCTGTGTGTATTTTAATTTGTGTTTTTATGTTGTTTTCAAATCATGTCCTGATAATCGTAAAGCACATTGAATTTCCTCTTTGTTTGAAATGTGCTCTATAAATAATGCTGCCTTGCCTATTTTCCGCATATTTACACATTCCACAATGTCAGTACCACAAAATAACTTAAAATATGACTGTTCACAGATATTTTACCAGTGATTGAAAATTTCAAATCTGCATTAGGAAAAATTTAAATATATATGGACTTAAAAGAAAAAATAGTGTAACAGACCTTTTTCTTCCATTGTACTTATATGCTTAAACCATTTTATTTCACTTCCTTGCAAGCCCCCACAATGCGGGACAGAAATTGAGGCCAATGCGGAAGTGAAATAAATTGCAGTTCCACCCTCATCCGCTGGGGGCTGGTGTCAGAAGCGAGCAATTCCTCATTGACTCCCATGTTAAAAATACCAATTTCACAGCAGAAATATACATGTTTACAGCCTGGTACCAAAACATGTTTTAGGTTTAATAGATCTAGTTTACATTCATGACAACTCTGAGGGGGGTGAATTTTTTTCTCACTCTTCTGTTTAAGTGTATTAAAAGCCTAAAATTCTGTATAATTAATGAGCATCCGACCCACATGACCGCAGAGCTAGCTCCGGGGAAAGGCCCCAGAAGAGCCTCGGTCTCGCCTGAAAACTGTTCCGCCATTTTCAGTCTATCAACTTTTCGCCCACACAAACTCAAAAGTTTGTGTGGGCGACGGTGGCACAGGAGTTAAGTGCTCGCCCCGTAATCGGAAGGTTGCAGGTTCGAGCCCCACTCAGTCTGTCGCTGTCGTTGTGTCCTTGGAAAAGACACTTAACCCACGTTGCCTGCTGGTGGTGGTCGGAGGGACCAGTGGCGCCAGTGCTCGGCAGCCTCGCCTCTGTCAGTGCACCCCAGGGCAGCTGTGGCTACATCGTAGCTCATCCCCACCAGCATGTGAATGTGTGTGTGAATGGGTGAATGACTGATTGTGTTGTAAAGCGCCTTGGGGGGTTCTTGGACTCTAGAAGGCGCTATATCAAATACAGGCCATTTACCATTTTACCAATTGCACTAATAGAGCGCCCAAGGAGTCTCCACTTCATTTTTTTCGGTAAGTAAAATTATATTTATGCATTTTAAGTCACTGCTGAACTGAGCTTAGATTTTAACATGTACTGTTTAATGAAATTTAAATGTAATAGGGTAAAACCAAGTGCATTTAACACAATGCTGCACTTTAGAAAATGGGTTGAAATATAACATGTTGGTGGAGCTGGGTTCCGACTATCGGCTTGTGGAGCTCTCGGGAGACCTCTGTTTTCCACCCGTTTCTCCGCTCCCCACAGCTCGGTCCATCTGATCGCCGCGGCTCCTGTCTGCTGCGCAGGCTGCCGGCTTGCGGAGCGCTCAGATGGAAACCGATGTTTTCCACCCGGTTCTCCCCAGTAGCAGCTCTGCGCTTCTCAGATCGCAGCAGCGCTTGTCTGCGGTGCGGCTGCCGGCTTGTGGAGCTCTCAGGAGACCTCTGTGTTCCACCCGGTTTTACCAAGCGGTCAGCCGGGCGTATCGCTGACTCAGAAGCTCTGGTGTTGTGCACAGTTAACTCCGGTTGTAGCTAGGTTGCTACCTCCGTTAGCTTAGCACCCACCTCTGCGTTAGCTTGGGTTAGCTTCAGGTTAGCTTGTAGCTAGTTCGACCGGGTGTCGTCAGTTGATCCCAGCCTTACAGCCCCACCCTCAGCTCCACCTCTCTTCCCTTTTGTGGAATTGTCTGGGCTTGACGGAACCTGTGACACGGTCAAAATGGCGGTGGTGGCCACCTCCCATTTCCCCTCAAAAACGTGTTATTGGAGCTTATGGAAATGATTTGTCCAGTATATATGTCAATGCTTCCTTGTCAAATGGTTTCTGTGCTTTACCCAGTTTCACTTCAAGCTTATCAAAACTTTGAAAATACCACATTTTAAATATATTATAAGCATTTCCAAGAATTTCAATAACTCGTGATAACCCAGTTATTTCCCTGAAGATTTTTTGCTTCTCATTTGATAAGCACTCATAGGGCTTTCTCAATTCAAAGTGAAAAATGTGGATTAGCAAATGTTTTAACTGACCTTCATTAAAACAAGCTAGTGTAGAAATTACTGTTTTGATTTACTGATCAAAGCCCATGCATGGGGACTACAACAAAGACCCCAACATCTCCTATAAGAGAAGATTTGAGGGTTGATTTCTAAGCTAGTTTGCATTTATGAACATCTCAATGTAATTTAAAGGTTTATTACTTAACCTTTTTTTTTGCTTCATTTATAGTGGGCCTACCATCGAGATATAAATATTGGACAATGGGTTTCCATAAACTCCAATAACACGTTTTTGAAGATAAATGGGATGTGGCCACCACTGCCATTTTCACCGTGTCACAGGTTCCGTCAAGCCCAGACAATTCCACAAAAGGAAAGAGAAGTGGGGCTGTAAGGCTGGGATCAACTGATGACACCCGGTCGAACTAGCTACAAGCAAACCTGAAGCTAACCCAAAGCTAACGCGGAGGTGGGAGCTAAGCTAACGGAGATAGCAACCTAGCTACAACTGTGCACAACACCAGAGCTTCTGAGTCAGAGATACGCCGGGCTGACCGCTGGGTAAAACCGGGTGGAACACAGAGGTCTCCGAGAGCTCCACAAGCCGGCAGCCGCACAGCAGACAAGTGCCGCTGCAATCTGAGATGCGCAGAGCTGCCGCTGGGGAGAACCGGGTGGAAAGGCTCCACAAGCCGGCAGCCCGCGCAGCAGACAGAAGCCGCGATCAGACAGAGATGCGCCGAGCTGCGGGGAGTGGAGAACGGGTGGAAAACAGAGGTCTCCCGAGAGCTCCACAAGCCGATAGTCGGAACCCAGCTCCACCAACATGTTATATTTCAACCCATTTTCTAAAGTGCAGCATTATGTTAAATGCACTGGGTTTTACCCTATTACATTTAAATTTCATGGTTAAACAGTACATGTTAAAATCTAAGCTCAGCTCGGCAGTGACCTAAAATACATAAATATAATTTTACTTACTGAAAAAAATGAAGTGGAGACTCCTTGGATGCTCTATTAGTGCAATTAATGCCACAGCAAGTTATTTGTCCAACAATTGCACAAATAATATCCAAAAAAAAAAGAATACACAAACACAGAGACTCCAAATCCCGGAACAGTTTCCAAGCCAGACCGAGGCTCTACTGAGGCCTTTCCACGGAGCTAGCTCTGTGGTCACGTGGGTCGGATGCTCATTAATTATACAGAATTTTAGGCTTTTAATACACTTAAACAGAAGAGTGAGAAAAAAATTCACCCCCCTCAGAGTTGTCAAGAGTGTAAACTAGATAATTTAAACCAAAAACATGTTTTGGAACCAGGCTGTAAACATGTTTATTTCTGCTGTGAAATTGGCATTTTTAACATGGGAGTCAATGAGGATTTGCTCGCTTCTGGCCTCAATTTTTCACCCACATTGTGGGGCTTGGGGCCTACATTTGTTATTTCAATACATGCATTTGCAGTGGTCCTTTGTATCCAAAAATCTCTGTGGAGGAAACGCTCTGTTCTGTTAGAAGTTAGCAAGAGGAGTGGGGGCAGAACACACTGAAATTTGGAGTTCTACTCATTAATATTCATGATATTTGGACATTTTGGCTCTGATTGGCTAACAACAATGCAACTCTACCACAGCATCCATTTGCTCTGCAACGTTGATGTTATATATCCACAAGTGGAGTTGCTAATGATAACGGTTAGCTTCTACAAGCTGAGACGTTCTCTGCTGCTTTCTGGATGCTTAACCAACATCAGTCTTCGTTGTGAGTCAAGATGGGTGAGTCCATGAATGTTAAGTGACAGTGTGACATAGATCTGTCAGGTTCACGTCTACTTGTTTTCACTGGCTAATGCAGGGGTCACATTCTTCATGCACGTGAAACTACCTATCATGTTTCAAAAAGAACAAGCATCATACTCCTCTTTAAGAAAAGTATTTAGAGATGTAATGAAGACCAAACGACTCACGTTTTTAGCAGAATTTCAACAGTCTTTTCTACAGGTCACTCACCTGAGGAGCGGTCACCGCAGATGGCGCAGATGTGTTTAGTGAGGGAAAGCACAGTGCCCGAGGGCTGGGCTGGAACCTTCATCACTCCATTGAGGCCCAATGGAGGCTTAATGTCCTCCGTGCTGCTGACCGAGCTCATTGGAGAGTTCAGCTGAAACATCAACACACACAAACACACAAGCCGACAGATTACACAGCAGCCCTCTGAACTCAAAACTGGAAAAATCACACACTTCGCTGCACAAGAGCCTGAAGGTTGGCTGATGACATTAAGCACTGAACAAATTCCCATTCCTACAAACCCAGAGAGGAGGAAACCTATAATAAAAATAAAAATAAAAAACAAGTTTGTTAAGTGAACATTTCTGATTAACACAATTTGTGTGTATTGATCCCGTTTCAGTCGATCACCAGTCCAAGCCGCCCCTCTCATTGGTTCCATCCCTCTCTTTCCTCCTTCCTTTTCCACTCCGTTTAAATCTAAATCTGGAACAGCAGGATTCTGCACCACTCAACCCCAGAAACTCCTTTATTCATGCTCTCAACAAGCCCCGCTGGCTCCAAAATGTTCACTGCTAGCATAACGTCATTGCAAAATTAAACAGTACAGCAGAATAAAGAGACACCATTTGTTGTAACAGCAGAGTAGCTACAGCCTTAAGTCTGACTTCAACTGCTGGCTGATTCTGAGAAAACAGCTTTGATAACGTTCATCCCAAAGTGAGCTCGCTCTCTGCTTTCTGCTACGTGTAGAGCAACAGGAGGCTAATTATTTTAATCACCTAAACGTTGTTTCCAGGGAAGATAAATGTTGTGATTCTAAAAAAAAAAGGAAACTAATTGTAATGGACGGAGCAGGGGAAAGGTGGCTATTAGAGCTAGCTCACAAAAACATGCTGAAGTGGATTTAGCAGAGGGTGAGTGATAAAGCAGCCATATGTGCTCATCCAGTGAGCTGATTTTCATGTTTTAAAACAATGACGACAAATCAGAAGCCACCAACAGCACAAAGGCTTGTTTTTTTGCTTTGAAATTAGCTCATGTTATAGTCTGTGTGTGTGTGTGTGTGTGTGAGAGAGAGAGAAAAGTGATCAAAAACATTTTCTAAGCTATTTATAAATTAATTAAATGTATAAGTTATTATGAATCACGCCAGTGCAATGCTGATTTTTAGTTTAAAAGCTTCTATATGAGGGGCAGGTGACGACTGAAGGTAGATCAAACCAGAATCATTTACAATCCTTTAATTAAATTAAAACAAAAATTAAACAAATCCACACACCACTGATAGAAATCTGCTGATTCTGGTCACAAAGGACCAATACTTGCTTAGAACAGTTTTGGAAAAACTTTCAGTAGTGTTTAAGTGATATGAACGATAGAAGCCCCTTGAAAAATGATGATTCCCAAAGTGAAAAAAATCCTCACAGAAGATCTGACTTAAAACTTAAAAAATTCAGATTTTTTTTTTAAATTTTCAGATTGGCTGTTCACTGATTAGGCCGGCACACTGAATTCTGACCAACTGTGATCAACAGCTGATTTTTGGTACAACTGTACATTCAACAATTCATGTTAATTATTAGGGATGAGCGAGTACACCACTATCTGTATATGTATCTGTATCTGTTCAACCAACTAAATTATCTGTATCTGTACTCTGAATGGGCGTGGCATAACCCAGAAGTGGGCGTGATTTAACTGGAAGTGGGTGTGGTTTACATCAATATATTATTTTAAGTCTGAAATTGATATGGATTGATCAGAAGTTGCTATGTTTATTGTTTATTTGAAAACTATTTACAGAGCAGCCTCAGAATTGAGATTAAATATTTTTGATCACAATAGTAAAGGAACTATTTCAGAACAAGTGTTTCAATAAAATCAGAACATTAATATTTGAGTGCATGGATTAATACAACTGAACTCATGCAGTAGGAACTAGAAAATACGAAATGCTAGAACCAGACACAACTTTATACATATTTTTTAATTTTAATTTGATTAAACTGATTTATTTCTTAACGTTCTTGGCATTTTGCCCCACACAAAGTTAAACAAAACAATGTGGATAGAGGTGTGTGTGTCTGAGAGAGATAGAGAGGGTGAGAGGGAGAGAGAGGGAGTAAAAAAAAATAAAAAACCCGACCGGAGCGGAGGTAGTGAGTGACTGACGCAGCACGTCAGCTCTGTCTTGTCAAATGCACCAGGTAAGTTACGAAAAAAGTAACTTTAAATATTCAACTGAAAAAGAGGCGAGCTGAAGAAAACCTAGAGAAAACTGAAGAAACGTGAGCAACAGTGAAGCAATCACAGCGAGATCCGTTACTGTCTGTGTGTGTGCGTGGATGAGCCGGACGGACTGCGCTCCCAGCCGGCTAGAGAGTTTTGTGTGTAGGGAGGGGCGGGCGCTCTATGTGACTGGCCAATCACAGAGCGTGGACAGTCAGTTACCCAATGAGGATTTTCCTTCAGCACAATTACAGATATTTACGGGTTTTACTCGTTTCATGCTCGTATTCGTCAAAAATGCTTTATCCGTACCGGATCCTCGTCTGAAACGAGTATCCGGCTCATCCCTATTAATTATATCAAAAGCAGGCAAATTGATAAAAAAAAATAATCAAGAAATTTTGTTGAAAAACCTTGATCCACTGGTAAACGTATTTGTTCACTTCACAAGACGGTGCTGTACAAATACAGGCCATTTAGCCTTTACTTATATTTTGGGAGGACGAGAACCATTTGAGATCAACCATCTAATTTTCAAGTGGGTCCTTCGTAGAAATTTTCAATGAGAATAAAAGACAAGATAACATAAACAACAAATTAAATACTATTTCTAAGAATTCTAAGAATTATTTTCTTTATTTTTTTGACCAAAATAAATAAGTAAATAAAAAGATAAAAATAAGAAAAATATCAAAAACATATATTAATTTAAAAAAAATTTCAAAATCTGAAGTGTTTGGACTTGGGATAAACTGGTTTGTAATTATGAATCGAGCCTCTATGCCAGTTATTACACCTTCCAGCTATAAGTGAAAAGGCTCCATAAGTGTGACAGAGGACAATATAATACCTTTTTATACAAGTGTACACAAGCTCCTGTAGCTCCAGGCACCCTATTTTGTCTTTTTTTAATTCTTTAAAACCAGAATTTGATTTCTCGTTAACAGCTTCGGTTATGTCAGCTTGCAGCTTCTATAACTGGAACTTCCAACAGGAGAAATATATCTAACCACAGTGCTTCCCCATCCCCTCAAAAAGAAAATTAAAGACGTCTTTTACACCGCTTCATGCACACTTCCACGTGATTCAACATGGCAGATGATATGTAATGGGAATTTAGGAATAGCACTGGAAGTTTCTGCTGTATCCAAGAGGAAGTTAATTTCCTCTACAATGAAAAGATCTGGTGACACGGCCACAAACTCCTGCACAAACTGTGTACTTCTGCAAATAAACACACACTGAATGCACAAAACACACAACGCTTCATGCTTTCTAAATAAGCTTATTATTTGCAGTGGAAAGTTAAATGGAGGTGGTACATTTTTGCAATTTAATGGATGTTCCTTTAATAAGTGAAAAAAATGCATTTAAAAATGGGAACCTGTGACCTAATACTGAGAACATCACTTTTGACCCCAAAATGTTAAAATCGAAGGGAAGTTTATGGGACATAAATTGACTTACAGTGTAAACACAACTTCTCTGCATGTTCATTCACAAACTCTCTCATACACACACAGGCACACACATACACATGCACAATGTGAGGTCTTACCTCACTTAAAGGCCAGAGTCTAGTCTTTTTCCTCTGCAGCGCAGCATTTGCAGAGCTTCCTCCTCAGCTGCGATTGTCTCTATCAAACTCCCTGTCTGCCTGACAGTGAAGATCGTGCCTTTCAGTCTATTTTCAGTAAACATGCAACTCAATCTCAGCAACATTGCTCCCTGCAGTGTGTGCTGAGGGGTATGGACCAGACCGGGGGGGGGGGCTTTCTTTCTCCTTTGCCCATGGTGATGGAGACAAGGCAGAGGGATTAAAGCAGCTCACGACTACTTCTGGAAATAGAACACATGGGCCCTCCCTTACAACACACACAAACACACACACATATGACCCTTCACATGAAGGTATGCCAAATGTGTGTGCAGCCACATTGACCTGGACAGCTCAAGTGATGGTCCAAAGAAGAAGCCTCAGCCTCAAACTTGTGACAAACGGAGAAAGAAACGCAAACAAATGGGGTTTAGGAGACAAGAATGCAGGACAGAAGATTTCTTGCAGAATAACGCGAGCAGCTGGAGCGCTCCCGCTGATGAAGGCTTCATATGCTACAGGTGTTATGTAATCTGCTGTGAGGGACATCTGATTAGTACATACAGCCAAGTGGGTGTGTGTGTCTGTTTGTGGGTATCAAATTCTGCACAAAAGTGATACATCTGATTATATATCCTATGCCATCTGCTGGCTTGGCTACAGCGCTCACCTTCAAACATTTGATAAAGATGGATAAAGGAAAAGAACTTCCAAGAATAAATGATCTCAGATTTAGTGACATTCGGTGAAGACTTGCCTCCCAACCTGCCTGGCTAAAGTCTCCTACAGGAGATTGATTTTTAAAACACAGTTTTGAGCTTAACTCATAACTTTACTGTGGTGGGAGTATGAACAATTTAAAATAATTGAAAATGTTTTTAATAAATCATTAGGAGGACCTAGGGCTGGGCAATAAATCAAAAATTTATCGTTATCAAAATTTCTGACTCTTATCGTGAAAAATTTTCACATGTCAATAAATTTGATAGTAGCAAAAATGAAAAGATGTGTTTAGGTTGGCAACGTTCATGTCCCTTTAAGAAGCTGTACCACCTTAAGTCACGTAAAAATGTTACTCAACTAATACGTGCGACAGCCCCATCTAGTGGACAACTTTAGTTTCTGCACATACCTGTAGTTATCGTCCATTTATTGTTATCGAGGTGAAATCTTCAACATATCGTGATATTAATTTTAAGCTCTATCGCCCAGCCCTAGGTGGAGATGATTTTTTCAGCGCAAATGTGATGAACCAACGTAAAACTTCGATGAACTGGTTAATGGATAATCTCTTTGTGCATCTCTGTTTCTGAGAATAAATT